ACAGAGATGGGCTCGTATGTGTTTTTTTGGGGGGGATAATTTGCAAAATACCCCCATACGTTGAGATATATGCCAAAATAACCCTGAAAGATGTGGGTAGAGCAGAATGCCCTTTCGGACCGAAATCTTTGTGTTGTGCCCTTGTCAGGCGGGTGTGCAACTTTGCAAGCTGGACCTCCCTGTTTGGGACTTTGCCTTTTGCAATAGAGCCTACGAAAAGTTGGCAAGTACTGGGGCATTTTGCAAAGTTGGACGGTAGGTATATTGCAAAGATGGGTGTCCAGCTAACGCTAGGGGTAATTCACAAAATATTGTTTTTGTCAGAGGGGCATTCCGCTCTACGCACATCTTCTAGGGGCATTTTGGCATATTTCTCAACTTCTGGGTGTATTTTGCAAATTATCCCATCTTTTTTTTTCTTCTTCTCTCTTTTCTTTTTTTCATGTCGTACCACCAGTAGGTCGAGGTGCGGCAAGCGTCGGGGTACCGGTCGGCCAAGGCTCGGAGTCGATTGATGGCCTTTAGATATCATCAATAAACTTACCAGCCCCTGGTAATTCAGACTGATTTTATTCTCTTCATCTGATGTTATCTGCATTCGAACTTGAATCTGCATTTCAACAGTTCAGGGGTGTACCAACCTGAGACCTGTTGGTACGTTTACCAATTTTCCCGAAAAGTTGACTGTGTGTTGCACTCAAGAAGGTACCAGTACCCAGCCCCCCTTCGTTCGAATACTTCGTTTCAGCCCAGTCGGCCTAATGACGACTACCTTAGGTAGTCCCTCCAAGCGTCGTTTTTACCAACGCGCAGTTTTCCCCGCCCCTCACGCTCGCGGCATTACCAGGCGAAACCAGGCATTTCGCTCTGGTAGGCCGAGCCTTTCCACGGGAAAGTTTCTGTTCCACAGGCACGTTGATGGAACAAGGGGGCTCGTTCCACACCACTCGAAACTCAAATATTTCCTGCCCAACAGCGTTCCACGGTGCACTTGAGTTTTGCTAATCACGTTCCGGTTGTGATTAGGATTCCGGGATTAGCAAACGGGCGGGAAAAGTCAAGTGCGGCTCAGGCAAATGGGGGGATTTTCAAGTCACCTCCCCGCCCATACTTGAGCTGCACTTCAAAAGGGCACAAGCAAGCGCCGCGAGGTGGTTGCAGGTGTGGTACAGGGCCTCGTTCCACACCACTTCACTTTCAGGTGCGGCACTTGAGCCGGCGGTCACCGTAATGTCACTAAAAAATACTTGACGCCGTCACCGTTCCACGTAATGGGCGAGCATGCACAAACATGATCACACAAGATCAAACCAGTTATCAAAACGACAAAGCTTTATTAATTAGAGTAGGTCGTAATCCAGGAGGCCGCGACGACGACTCGAGAATCCTCCTAACCCTCCACCATACCTCCTCCCTATACTCATGCCTCACATCACCGCCATACCAAAAACGAGGCAACAGCCCAGTACCATGTCGAAAGAGGACTATACCGTAGACTACAGCATCTATATATAGTAAAGCATTCGACCTATACTATCCTACTAGCAATCCTCGCAAAGCAAACTTGCTGTAAGCCTCCAAATCGGCTCTCGATTCCACGCGAAGTTCCTCAGGCCTTTTGCGAAAAATCGGTCGGGAAAGTCCCTGGCCCGAAATTCCCTCCTTAGGGTCAGCACCTGCCCCGGGATTCGGGCACGATCCGTTGTGTTTCTGTCAATCCAAAAAAGCCACCCGGTAACAGCTGCCAGCTTCTGTTTTCGTGAGGACCAGGACCCGAAATCCTGGCCCGTCTGAAATACCAGGTCCTGTGTCGACCAGATAGTTTCTTGATTCTTCGTCTTTTGGAAGCTTCCCAAATAAGGAAATGAAGGCCTCACTTCCAGGGCACAGCCCAGGAAGTCCCAACTTCCTGATTTATCGTCCGTCCTCTTTAAAGTCAGTGCCTTAGGATAGCATCTTTCGAGCGCCCGTCTGATTCTGTTTGCCTTCGCTATCGTGTGTCCTTCCCCTTGCTTATAGGCCAGAAAGATAGAAACATCATCCATCAATCTGACCCCGTACACCAGTCTCTGGTCTCTCCCCAAGGACTCCAGAAACCGCCACTCTGCATGCGCACAAAGAATGCATGCAAGTGGCGGACTAGTGCTCTTACCCATGGGGATTCCAATTACCTGTCTCAGCAGCACGTTTGACGCACTGGTGTAAGTATGACTTAGCTCAAAGTCGACAAAACCACGAATCTCCTCTGTAGTCACTGCCCACCATCTTGCCAATTCCATCTTTCCGAAACACGCCCCTTTACCTCTCGGGTTCACTCTGATTGTCTTGATTTCACAAAAACAGCTCAGAATCCAATCGCAGCAGGGAGGTAGTTTCGGGTAGGGTCCAGCGGACACTTGGGATGTCCGTCGGCATTGTAGGAGGAGGCTCCGTCGCATTTTTCCTGTTTTTGTAACTTGGTGAGGCGCCGCGATTCGAGTTCCAGAGGTCCCAGGGCAGCCAATTTAAACCTGGACCACCCAGTGGAGAAAAGGAAAAACAGAATACCACACCTGACCGCCTCAGGTGGTCATTTGCACACTTCTCAAGGGCAGCTCAAGTGTGGCCGGAGAGGTCATTTGAAAAATCACCCCATTTGTCTGGGCCGCACTTGAGCGGCCCTTGAGATTTTTCCCGCCCGTTTGATAATCCCGAAAACCTAATGACAACCCTACCGTGATTAGCAAACTCAAGGGCACCATGGAACGGTGTTAGGCAAGAAATCCTTGGTTTTCGAGTGGTGTGGAACGAGGCGGACAGTCCCCACAGTCCCCACAGTACCCCTGTAGGGTTTTTGCTTTTTTTTTGTTTTCAGAGTCCGCCACTTTCCCGCTCCTTTTCTGGAGCCCAAGTCCAGGGTTATGTGGAACGGTGACAACTTCGGCGCAAGGTCCCACTTGCACAAATTAGGAGATTTCGGCCGTTGATCTTCTCTATCTACGGTCAGTATCTTTTAGTTCGTGCAAGTGGGACCTAGCCGCGGGTAGACCGTCCACCCCGTACAAGTGCGGTGGAGGGCGGCTCAAGTGCCGCACTTGAAACTCAAGTGAAGTGGTGTGGAACGAGGCCCAAGGCCCACGCTCGCTCATCGTGGCGGGGGCGTGGCTTACCCTTCACCGCCAGCGATTTCGGCGGGGGCTCACAGCATAGCGGGGTAGGGTACTGGTGGTTCAAAACAAGAAAATAGGTCCAAGTAACCCCAACCGTTGCGTCGGAGAAAAGACTCGAGAAAGTCTCAACAGTGCGCACCGCCCAGTACTCCCTTTAGGGGGAAAAAGTTTCCTTGGGATGGGATTGGGGACCGGAATCATTCTGTCATTTTGGCTGTAGGGAGAATCAAGCAATGATTGGGCTTGTGCGTGAGGTTGGCAGAGAGGCGTGTTGATCTGCCGACGTGTGCATGAAGTCCATACGTCGATCTGACGAAGAGCGTCGACGTGGCTGGTGTACACGTGGCCTATTCCGTGTGACAGGGTTGGTTTTGAAGGGCAGGGCAGTTTGCGCCAGCCGACCTGGACGGCAATGGCAGGAGCTGATTGGGACCTCGGACTCGGAGATCGAGGGCCGTGGAAGGCAGATTCGCATCAGAGCAACCGCCGATGCGTCTGACGTCATTGTGAAGAAGTAGATCTCACCCTGACCCTTGTGTGTGTGGTGGGGTTGAACTGGTGATGGGCAATTAGCCATTCCATCAAGTCATCAAGAAGAAGTGCCCCCCGATGAGCGCCAATTGGGGTACAGCTGGACAGCATGTGGCAACCCACCACCCATTCGGGCATCCAGTTGATTAATTACCCGTCTATGGGAACGACGACGTGCACCCTTCCTCAGGGCATACTCACATCAGGAGTTCTTACTTATTTCTGGACGTAATTGGGGTCACATTCATCCATGTCGGGCCGTGAATACGGTGAGATGCATTCAAAGTAGTGCTAGTGTGAGTACGCCCTCACTCTCTATCGTTCCCGCGTTCTCGCTCATCTTTTTGACACGTGTTCATTCCTCTCGTTAGTGAAGTAGTGAATAAGCAATCACACGGCGCGCAGTTGTTGTGGCATTTGCGGTCGCGTATCCCCCTCTGCAGGAAATGCATGCGAATATTTTTCCTTGTTATTTTTTTCTTTCTTTTTAAAGACGTTGGGTCGTAGACACACGAGGGGAGGGGGTAGAAAAGCACAACTCCCGCACACATCGGGTAGAGGACCAGATAGAATTGACTGCATTGTCTCACAGGGGGCCGTGTCGTCGGCGCACCTCGGTGGACCTCTCTTTCTCTAGCGTAATCTGTCGCCGGCCGGCTGGAACTGATTGGCGGCAATGGCATGCGCGGGGGTTAATGTCATGTTGTCGCACGTGGCGCGCGGTGCGACTGTTGGGCTGCTAGGCTTAGAAGATCCGGCGGGGCATGCGGCAGGAGGGTGGTGTGGTCACACACGTGGCAACGGCGGCGGGATCGGGACGGCACGGTGCATTCAGCGACAGGGGACGGCATCTATGGCGGCGGCTTTGCCGCACAAGGTGACGTGGTCGCTCAGTAATGTCGCACTGTCTCGTCGCAAGGAATGGTTGTCATCGGGTGGAGGGGAGTTGAGCACAAGGAGCAAGGAGATTGGAGCGCCGCCATCCCAGTGGTTTTCCGCAGCAGTCGGCGGGTACGATGCGGAGCTGCAGCTGCAGCTGCAGCGCCGGGGATTGCCTCGGGAAGGTCGACAGATAGGCTGCGCATTTTCCGCATTTTTCCTCGGGGAGACGATGAGGAGGGGGGAAGAGATTGCTGCCATCGAGGGACGAAGGAGACGATACTATCCGTCTTATTTTCTTGGTCATTGTATTTCCGACATAGGTTCAAGGAGGGGGGGGAAGCGGAGCGTCAGCAGCAGGCCAGGGAATAGTAATAAGGGAGAGACAGAAGCAAGAGCAGCAGCAGCAGCAGCAGCAGCAGGAGCAGGAGGGGGAGGGGGAGGGGGAGGGGGAGGCGGAGAGGGAGCAACGATTGACACTGACGGGCCGTCGGTGTCGGCTTCTGGTAAGGCGAAGAAGGCATTGGCTTCGACGTCGCCGCCGCCGCCACTTCCGCCTCCGTCTCAGCCGGCCGCGGACGCGCCAGGCGATAATAATAGTGAGACGGCGCGCCCATCGCGGACGAACTCCTCTGCCTCCTCATCATCCACGTTTTCTTCGTCATCGCAGTCTTCGGCTTCGTTGTCGGCAATATCCGAGGCAAAGACGGGCGCGACTTCGTCGTCGCAAGGTGTGGCTATGTCGGCAAGGTCCATACCTCCATCCCCATCATCGTTCCCACCAAAACCGCCATCGCCGTCATCGTCGTCGTCCTCCCCCTCCTCCCCCTCCCCCTCCGGCGGGCTCAACGCGATACCAATGAGTTCGGCAAATCTTGTGGGAACGCGGACCGGTCTGTTCCGCGCGCCCATCTCCGGTGGCGTTCAGAGTGCCACGTCAGCACACGGCCTCCCTTCTCCCGCCTTAGCCGTTCGTAATCTGATCGAGCAAGCCAAGTACGCCCACCTCTGCACAGTAATGTCACGCATGCATCATCGCCGCCGCGGCTATCCCTTCGGCTCCCTCGTCGACTTCGCCTGCGACGCAACTGGGCACCCTATCTTCTGTCTCTCTCCGCTCGCCATCCATACGCGCAATCTCCTCTCAGACCCCCGCTCCACCCTCGTCGTCCAGATCCCGGGCTGGAGCGGTCTGGCCAATGCACGTGTCACGCTGTTCGGCGATGTGCATCCGCTGCCCGTTGATGACCAGGCAAGGGCACAGCAGCTGTACCTTGCGAAGAACCTTCATGGCCCGTCTCATCAGTGGGGCAATTTCAATTTCTTTAGGATGGATTTAATCAGCGACATTTATTTCGTTGGGGGGTTTGGCACCGTGGCTTGGGTAGACTACGCGGAGTATGCTTCCGTCAGGCCGGATAAGATCGCCACGACGAATGCGGAGGACACTCTGCAATCGCTGAACAACAAGTTTTCACTTTACGTGAAGCAGCTGCTGAAAGTCGACCTGTGTCAGGAAATTGACGATGCGGCCATAATATCAATAGATGGGAAAGGGATTGATATAAGGGTGAGACAAGGGGCCAGATTCAATATTCAGAGAATGGCTTTCGAGACCCACGTGGACAGTCTCGACGAAGCCACGTGCGAATTAGATAGGATAATCCATAGAGCTCTGCTTATCAACCACCTCGATGTAGAATATACTGATGACGGAGAGCTCCTCGTCGTTCCTTCCTCCTCCTCCTCCTCCTCCTCCTGATCATGGTAAACATCTTCATTGCCAGGTGGCGACCGTGAAAGCCCATGATTCATTCGATATGACGTCACGAATGCCTCGGGCGAAGGAGCATGCGAAGTCAATCATCAACGTGGAAGCAGGCGAAGGGGATGGGAGTGGTGGTAGCGGGAGGGAGTTGAAAGGGTTTTCGAGGGGGTGAAAGCCGGGGATGGCGGGGGCCGCTAACCATATCATCTATGCGCTTGACACAGTCGGTGATGGTGGTGTGTATGATCTATCCTCCTCTCGGGATGTGTGTGGGTACGTGCGTGCATGTGTGTGTGTGTGTGTGTGTGTGTGTGTG